AAGGATGTTTTTATATTGATGATAATTTAATAAGTTGGAGGTTAATAAAACAAAATTATATAGTTCTCTCTACTTTTGAAGCTGAATATATCATAGCTGGAAGCTGGTGTTGCCAACTATTATGGATTAACCAGATGCTACGACATTATGGTATCGAAAAAAAGTCATTTGTGTTGTGTTGGGATAACACTGGTGTTATCAATATGTCAAAGAAACCGGTTCAACATAGAAAAATATGCATATTGACATCCGATATCATTTTATCCGAGAGCTTATGAAAGGTGAAATTTGCATCTTGCAACATGTGGGAACTGAATGTTAGAAGACGAATATATTCACTAAATCTTTGGATTCGAATAAGTTTGAAGAATTGAGAAGGAATTTAGGTATGTGTTCATATATAAACTAATTTGATTGGCTATATTTACTCCAGTATTTAAGGAATTATTTGGATAAAAAGAAACTTATGGAAATTTTCCATTGTCGGTCAACAAAAAAGAATTTTTAGCCTCTATGCAGTCTGCATACCTAAGGCAGAGAAATGTTGTGACAACTGTGTTATGATATTCCTGTGTGCATGTTTTCAAGGAGGGTAATGATGGTGGCGTGTTAATTTATCTGTTTCCAGGGTCTATATATATCGATAAGGGTACATTTGTTTATCATCATTAATCTTCATCTTTTTAACCCATAATTTCAATTGTAAGTTCAATTTTCAAAATAAAAATAGTGATTGCTTGTTTCGATTCCTGACCTATCTCAAAGAAGGCTGGAGGAAACTCGTCCTCCCGATGCAAGAAAGCCATGTCAAAGTCTGAAACTATTTACATATCATGAAGGAAAACCTAAGGAGGTCACTACTATTGTTGTTGACACCATAGTTGAGGAACCAGTTATGGAAACCAACTCCGAAGTCGAAGGAGAAACAACCACTGGTGAACACATCGTGGAAACTATGGATGTTGACCGCTAGAGGAGGGCCTATATTTGCAACCGATAGTGCTACTGCAGCAGAATAGTTCAAAGAAACTGTTGTTGCTTCTCAAATCAATCTGAATCTTGTTGCTCTTATGGATCCTAAAAATGTCAAACATGAGAAAGATAATAAAATCCTTGATCAAACTATTGATAAGGTCACTGCAAAAGCTGCTATTGATGATCGTGAAATAGAGGAAGCTGCTACTAGTGGTGAGAACGGTGTCGTGCCTACTGAGGAACCCTTTGTTGCTCTTGCTCATATAGAGGAGTCTTCATGTTAAGTTATTGGGGATGCTGCTCGAAACATTAAGGAGATTTAGGTCTTAACTAGAGGTGCTGAGGAGGCAGAGGATGATGATGAGGACTCTGTTTGTTTATCTACTGTAATGGAACGAATGTGGAAGAAGAAGTTTGGGAGCTCGTCCCGTACTTAACATAAAAAAGAAGCAAAAGTAATAAAGAGTGGAAACCCTCGTCACTTTGAGTAGAGAAACCCTTATTTGAGGCATACTACTATGCATCAAATTGCATGTATGCCCTTAATAAACTTTCCTTTTCAAAAATTGTTGCAGAAACTTAATTTACTAGGAATTTGTATACTAAGCTTGGATTTTGTTTGTATTTAGAGTAAAAACGCTTGTTTTTTTGGGCTACTAGACTGAAGAAGTACTGCCCCCGTCTGGTGATGGAGTTCTATGCTAATTTAAGCTCAAAGATCTACGATTCCAACTCTTTGTCATATCATAAAGTCTAGGCCCGAGGGTATTTGCTTGAATTTAGCCCTGTTCAACTTGTTGTTATGACTCCCAGATAATGATGCATGGAAAATACCATATGTTCTTCTTGAAAAGCCCACTAGCCAGATTGCTAGAACATTCACTTCAGGACAAACAACCTCGTTTGGACGTCTCCGAGAGGCCATGGACTTTGGGGAGGCCGATCTCCCGCTTACATATTTGGGAGCCCCACTTTATGTGGAACATCGAAGGAACATATTGTATGAGAGGTTCCTTGGCAAGCTCTGAAGGTATTTGACGAAATGAGATAGATTCGTCCTTTTGCATGGAGAGCGCCTCTAGTTGATCCCGAGTATACCATATTCCTTTCCGCTTTATTTACTATAGTTTCTTAGTCCGCTGCAGACAGTGCTCCAGTCGGTGAAGCAATTATTTGAAAGATTCTTTTAGGGATCTTAGAATGGTCATCGTCGGGGGCATTGGGTTTCTTGGGCGGAGATCGCACGACCGGTGGAGAAAGGTGGATTGGGTATTCGGAGATTGACGGATATGGTGGAGGCTTTATCATATAAGATTTGGTGAAGGTTTCGGGATGATTCGTCTTTATGGGCATGTGCTATGAGGCACAAATACTTTCGTGGTACTTTTTTGGAGACTGCTCCATGTAGGAGTTACGATAGTTCCGTATGAAAGTGTTTGTGCGGAGTTCGTGCGGAGGTGTAGTCCCGGATCTACTAGAGCATAAGTTAAGGAGATTATCAAAAAAGAAGATTATCAAGAGGAATATTAATTATGAAAGATTATAAAAAAAATTATCACTTATGTAAACTTTTAGAAGTTACCTTAACGTATATTTTTTTTTATTATAAGTTTTAATACAATATAATTCTATATATAGAGCTTTCTTTATTATTTATTTTGGCTAAATTGCACAAAATCTACATATAGTTTTATGAAATTGCGTCAAATCCCCTATACTTCTAAAACTGTGTGGTTTTATAAACTCTGTGTCTTACCCTCTCGGCGGTTCTTATTTAATGGTATTTGACCTAAATGCGCCCAAACTGCGAATAAATTTTAAAATCTCAATTTTTAAATCCCTAAAATTACAAATATATTCATTTTTCTTATATTTAACCTCAAAAAATAGTAAATATACTCAAAAATAGTTATTTTTCTCAGGTTTTAAGAGTTTATTTTTACTGTTTTTTTAGGCTAAATATAAGAAAAATAAATATATTTGTAAATTTAGGGGTTTAGAAATTGAGATTCTAAAATTTACTCGCAGTTTGGGTGCATTTATGTCAAATACCGTTAAATAAGGACCGCCAAAGGGGTTAGACGCAGAGTTTATGAAACCACGAGGGAGTTTGATGCAGTTTTAGAAATATAGGGGATTTGGCGCAATTTTGTGAAACCACAGGTAGATTTTGTGCAATTTAGCAATTATTTTATTATTAAATACTTTCTTATAGTTAGACTTACGCAAAATAAAATGATATTTATTGTAATTATTATTCTTTTATAATTTATTTATTATTATTTTGAAATATATAATAATTTGAACAACACATCTAATTTAATATGTAAGATACCCTTTATAGCTCAGGATACCTGCTAGTGTGTATATATATATATATTCAAAAGATTATTGAATCAATTAATTCAACAACTTATTATAATTTAACATTCAATTGTATTAATAATATGTATATGAATAGATTACTTCAATTCAACTATCTAATACTCCATTCATCATTCAAATTTATATTTATGTTTTCTATTAGTCAAATATTCTCATTTTTTTAGCAAAAAAATACATTACTTTTTGTACCATTTTATTATAAAAAACCAATATTTGCAATTATTACTTATTTTTATTAAAATTTGTATCTAAATATTTGAGCATACAAAAAGATGACGAAGGGGGTATATATAAGATTTGTTCTCGTTAAGTTTTATTAAGCTGTTTTTTTTTTTTTTTGAGCAGTGATAACTAACATACTCCCTCCGTCCCGCAAAAAGGTTGCCATTTAGTTTTTGCGTCATTGTACTTAACATTAAAAATATCCTTATATTTGAATAATTTACTTGACAAATATCATTGTATATGTATTATAAGATACTAATAAACTTATTTTTGTTTTCTTTTCTTGATTTGTACTACGTATTGATATCATAATTAATATTCAAATATCAACACACAAAAAGCCAATGACAACCTTCTTGCGGGACGGAGGGAGTATTATTTTTTTTATAAAATATCGGATTCAATCATTTTTTTAAGGGTAAATTTCAATACATACCTTTGTGTTACAGAAATTTTGCACGAAATACCTTATATTTAGTTTTTTGCATAATTAACCTTTATGAAATATAATAATACACACATTATCCCCATTCCGTCTGTATTTAACAGAAGGTTGGATATACGCGTTGTCTTTGCGTGCATAATGTGATAAAATTTATAATTTCAATGTAAAAGGACATTTATACCCTCGTTTAATATAGAGTTTAAGATAAAACTATACACACTATATTCTCATTCAGTTGTAGGTAAGAGTTCCTGGTCTGTGTCGACTCGAACAATTTCTCTTCTAGGTAAGAATTTTCTCTTCTTGGTAAAATTGTTCACGTTCTTCCCTGCCAATATGTTCTTACGTCTATTTCTCCTTTATTGTTTTCTAACTTCCCTCTCTTTCTTGTATTTTTGTTATATTTATTTCCTATTTTTCTCTCTTGTTCCTATGTCTTGGGTGTTTGTTTATTGGAGCCTAAAGGTTGGATGTTTTGTGTGAATGATTTTTTTCGTTGCGAGCTTTTGCTGAGGGTGAATATTTTGAGTAATCGATTTCCAATAGGTTTATGTCTAAGTTTGGGTGTAAATGAATTTTTGTTTGATTAGGTTATTAATGTTATGTTGTACTATTTAATAATTTTTCAAAATTAGTGGACATTGTATGAGATCGTTAGATGGTGAATTTTAGCAATTTTTGGAGTTAATGGATTCAATTGGTACATTGGCGCTGGATGGGTCTGTTTGTGAGCCTGGGTAAAAAAATTATGTTGTTTGGTTTTAAAATTTTTTTTACAATATTCGTTAACACATCGGTAATGGTTCTTTAATTTGGTTGGGTGTGAAAGTTTAGTAATATTGTTTTGGATGTTTATGTTTATGGTTCTTTAAAATTGAACATGTCTTGATTTCTCCCTTTGATGTTGGGTTTTTTGTTTGCAAATGTTAATCAATTTTATTAAATTAATTGGTTGACCTTAGTTGCGAAGTATAGGTGGTGCTAATGTCGACGACTTCGTCAAATACTAAGAAGAGTTTGAGAGGTGAAATATCGGATTTGCGATACAAAAATCCAATATGTAAATGTGGAAAATATGCTGCAATTTCGAGTAGTTGGCCCTACGAAAGACACCGAAGGTAAGTTGTTTTGCAATTGTAGAAACTAATAATGTGACTTTTTTTGTTGGTTAGATCCCTTGAGTGCACAAGAAAATGATCGGTCCAAATGTGTGATTGGTAGTTTTGAAGAAGAAGATGAAGAAATTTCAAAACCTGAATCCAATGTCAATGAAGTGCTATTTACCACGGTGAGGTCTGAAATCGAGATTATTGCTAAAGCAATAGAGTCAAACACAAAACGTGTTGAAAGAATTATCAACATGATTAAGTATCTTTGGGTTATTAATGTTATTGTTGTTGCAATTGTGGCAATGGCTAAGTAGACGATTATGTTGTTTATTTATATGGTTATCGTTGTTGCAATTATGGCCAAGTAGATATCCTTTTAATTTGATGATGTATTTAAGGACTAATAGTGCATCTACTTGTTGCTTTGCAGTAAAAGAATTAGTATTGTGTTTTGTTTGAATTAGTTCTGTTTGAATTTACTAAGTGTGCTTTGTCTAAATTTGTTCTGTTTTAATTTGTTCTTGTCTGCACTATCTTCATTCATCAAACCATACTCCTCTATGAGACAACATGATAATAATCAAAGCTAAAGACAAATCATTCACCTCCAAGGCATTATCAAAATATTATTACACTACACAATCAAAGCAACATTTAATAATAATAATAATAATAATAATAATAATAATAATAATAATAATAATAATAATAATATCTCCAATCATATACCATCACCATCCGAATTAAATTACATTGTGCTCATTGTTGATGTAATTTTTCAACAAAAATAAAGTAAAATTCAAAGATATAGAAAATATCCTTAAACTTGATTAATTAGTGCCTGAGATTAGGAATCTCTAAACACTGTATGGTACAGAAAATAAACTGGAAAAATAAAAGACTGAAATTTAAAGTGGTGATCCCCAAATCTGACTTTGCTTTGTTGAAGTTGATTGAAGATCCCCTGCCAAATGATGATCCAAATCCTTAAATATTCTTTGAAGAAAACGTTCAGAACCGTCGCACTGTTTCACCAACCGTTCCCACCAGTTACAGAACTCAGAACTGCCTCTTTCATTGACACATGTCTTTAACCGCCTCGCCAACCGCATAACCCAACGACCGACCAACCGACCAATCTAGATACATAATTGGTCGCCAGATCAAAAGACTCACTGGTCGCCCCATCAAACGACCACTATTTGGTCTCTTCAATCGTCTGACCTATCAACAGACCTTTCTTCGCCCGACTTCCTTTTTCGACCGACCCCCATAGCAGCCAACCTTTGTATCAACCGACCCATTTATCCGACTGCGGATAATCCAACCTGCTTGCCCGACCGCGGACCATCTGACTTGCTTATCTGATTGAGAACCAACCGACTGAGAACCCACCGACTGACTCTGGATACCTTATTATTATTATTATTATTATTATTATTATTATTATTATTATTATTATTATTATTATTATTATTATTTTTTGTGCGTAACACTCATAAATCATTTTATATATACATCAATTAAATATTCTCATAGGAGATTTAACATAATATGGAAATATGCCAAAAAGCCATGGCAATACAGCAACACTTTAAACTACAAATTCACAGTATATAAATAAATTGATTCATAAGCCAAAAAAATTTGGTATAACTGATGTTCGTTAAGTTTTATCACATCAACAATTCAACCCTTATCATCATGTTTGCTTCCAAAACAAAGTATTCCAAACTCACCTCCACACACCTAAACAACATAATGCCACCAAAAGCACCTTAGCAAAATGATGCATACTACATACAAAATGATAACCCAATATAGCAGCAACCCATCAATTTCTAATGACATGATCAATCCGAAAAAAGGATAAACACAACAAAACAAGACAAAGTGAGCAATCAAGCAAATCTACACAGATTATTTCTTTTGAGATCCTATTGCACAGGTTGTCTCGGCTTGTAAGAGAACCGCAAGGCTCGTAACCATAATGCAAGAGATGATCCGAGACGCTGATTAGAAGCCCGTAGACATGGCAAACCTATTGGAGCTTGGGAACTTTGTGGTTGGGTACCCTTTCTTCGCCTTTGAGAAGTTGTTTTCGGGGTGTTTAACTTTCGTGGCTGTTTTGATAGCTTCGCCTAGAAAGCTCAACTACATGAGACAAATTTATGTAGGAAAATAAACCAAAAATCGTTATTAGTGTAAATCAACAATGGACCTGCACAACACTTGGCTCAACATTAGTACATACATCAGCTGCAACTTCGGTACGGGCGGTTTGAGGAACATCGGGTATGCTATTTTGATGCCCCACCTGCCACAAAATTTATCTATTATTGTGTTGTAACAATAGAAAACTCCACAACTTAAATAATTTATGCATTGAATTTTTTAGTACCTGATCCATGGTCTGGGAAAAATTAGTCATATGTTGTGAACTGATGCGCTGTCTTTTTGCCCGACCTCCCTAAATGTTATTCAACTTCATGTAACTGGTAGAAAAATATTTATAAAAAACTGTAATGCATAATAAAACATTATTTATTTCATACCTCACCATTCACAGTATGACGACGATAAGAAGAAAATGAAGTTCTACAATCCTCATTTTGGCCCTACAAAGATAAATTAATTGATTAGTTGCACTAGACTAGATTATTGGCCTTAAAAGTTACAATACTCACCAGCCCGACAGTTTCATCGACTACTATGTTGCTTTGCATAGGATTATTGGCCCCACTATTGGTTGGATTTTCGGGTTGTGTCTACATAGAATTACAATTATTACCAAAAGTACGTAAATGTATTAGTACTATTAATCTAAAATTAAATTATTCCCTTATCAAACCTTGAATTGGGGTGTGGTGCATTCTTACAGCTCCTTTTATTATGCCCTTGTTGAAGGCATATAGCACATGTATGGGTTAAGCCTTTTCTTGAAGTTTTAGTTGAATCTTTCATATCATTTGCATCATGTCTGCGCACTTTTTTGGGCCTTCAAGCTCTTTTTTTTACAATAGGGGGAGCCACAATACCAAATTGAGACTTTTCATAGTCATGCATACTTGGTACAAGGCTGATCATGTGGTTGTACAGGTTGCTGTACAATTGCTTACTGAAGTAGGCATCCACAAACTCCAACGGATCTTGCCTATGCATATCTAGAGCAGAAATTGCATAGCAACACGGGTATCCAACCATTTGAAACATACCACATGTGCAACTTCTGGATTTCAAATGAACAACATGATTTGCTTGCCAGTGCATTATCTCGAATTTGTCCTCACCTGCCCAACTGGGGAAACAATTTCTACTCTCATTCCTTTGAACCTCAAATTTTTTCAAAATATTCGGACATACACAACTCTCAAATTTTTCAATTCCTTCATTTTTTACCTGAATTCGTGTCATGCATTTTCTTTTTATCCATTCAAACATCTCGATTATTGGAAGATCACGAGCAGACATAATATAATGGTTAAAAGACTCGCTGATGTTATTTACTAATGCATCGCACTTAGTTCTTGTAGGAAAAAAAGCTCTCGCCCACTGATGCTCGGGAATATCAACCAACCACTCAAAGGCATTCTTTGATTTATTCACCTTTGGATTGCATTTCAAGATCTCTTTCATTGTACGTTTGTGCTCGTTCAGATTGTAAGTCGAGGCAGCCTTCCAAAATAACCTTTTCAACTCCAGAACCTTATACTTCGTTTTGAAGTTATTGTGCATATGTCGCACACAGAAACGATGCTCGGCATTCGGTGCATGCGTAGCTACAGCCTCAATCAGACCTTTATGTCGATCAGATAAAAAAGACCACCGCCCATCATGTGCATCTTCAATATCTCAAAACAAAAAGTTCAAGAACCAATCCTAAGTATCAAATTTTTCGACCTCCACAAACGCCATAGCAATCGTGTAAATATTGTTATTCCCATCCATTCCGATCGCTGTTAAGAGCTGACCCTTGTATAGTCCTTTTAAAAAACAACCATCAAGTCCAATTATTGGCCTACACTCCACTTGAAATCCATTTGACAGTGGTTTCAAACATAAATACATCATCTGAAGCACCGGCGGAGATAGTTCTCGATCAACTTTCAAAATAGTTGAAGTACCAGGATTGTGTTTGCAAACTGTGTCACAGTAGTCATAGAGTCTATTATACTGCTCTTTCATATCACCCTTTAAAATCTCTATCGCATGTTGCTTTGCTCGGTACACCTTGTGTGTGCTTACATCAACTTCAACATCTCTTCTGATTTTCCTTCGCAAAGATTCTAAAGACTCCACAGGATTATCTTTCACGTAATTCTTAATCCTTTTTCCTAGATACCTGATGGAATAAACCAAAACAACATGCACTAAAATCATAACAGTAAGATCCCAGGATTAATATTTAATGGAACAACATAAAATTCTAATACCACACAATAAGTTGAAATCATATACAAATAATATCAGCACCCTATGGATCAGACTACAAAAATAACACCATAACCTTAAAAATCAGACTGTAAAAATAAGATCATAAGCATAAATCACAACATACTATAAAAGTTAGAACGTAACCAAAAATCAGACCATAAATATCATATCAAAACACTAGAAACACATAAAAAGTAACTATCAAATACATTTAAAATAGTTACCGAAAGTCAGCTTGTGAGTTTGTCGTCATATGTGCACATGTGTGTCTACCTTTTAGTGTTTTTATCTGAAATGTGGTCCCTCTCATGATTGAAGAAGCCCGAATAAACCATCCGCAACCTTTTTTGCAAGTAGTAGTCACGACATTCTTTTCTTTCTTAGGGTACTTCAAGTCCCACCCTTTTCTAACAGCCCAGTCCTTTAAAGTTTCATTGAATTTCTCCCTATTTGGAAATTTCATCCCTACGTCGAGATCATTTGTACCCATATCCATGTTTTCATCCCATTCGATATAACGAGGCCCCTCGGTTTCTTCATTAGACACCACATGTGCATCCAAATCCCCCTTTCTTTCTGAGTCCACATCACTGTACCATTCAGCTTCCTTATTCTTTATTCCTAATATGTCATCATTTACAGACTCTTGGTGATCTTTTCTTTTTGCATTATTTTTTTTCTCATTTCTTAATAATCGCAATTCCTTCATTAACTCTTTCATTCTTTCCCGTTCATTGTCTGGTTTTTCAACAAAAATATCATCTTCCAAAGGACCGTCAAAGCCATCATACATCCAAGATGGGTCATCCGAGTCAGTACCATCCCATTAAGTATTTGGATTTTCACTTTCAGCATCAGTGGCACCCCCACCACTCAATCCAGCAGCCACACCCTCATCCAAGTCCTCTCTTTCTGAACCAACTACATCACCTTCGGAAACCGTAACACCGTCTGTAAGTCCAACTGTTCCACAATTATCAACACCACAACCTTCATCGGCCTCCAAGACTCCCTCAGCCACCTCATTATCAATATCCCTCATATTATCCTTATAGTTACCAAAGACCATTACACGTTCCCAATTCTCCCACACTGCATCTCTAGTCCCATCATTTGCCATTTGTTGTTCTTGTGTCTTTTCATTATAGTGATATATCTCCTCTCTCTCTACATTACCCCCTCCTACATCATTACCCTCGTCAACAACCTCTGTGTCTTTCCAAGGCAAAAGTAAAACTTCATTGGACTTTCTAATTTCACTGCCTGATTTATCCAAACTCGTAAAGGGCCCTCTCAATTCCTCCACAAATATATGTATCACTGATTCATTCTTATATGTTCGCAGAAGGTTGATAATGTCAACATCGCTTCTGATGTACAACACGTTACTCTTCAATGTTTCACCCGGAAGAGAATAATAAAATTCTAAATTACTTCCCACCCCACCAGTCTTGACATACATATCAACTAATGTCCAATAATTAAACATATCCTTGTTGATATTTTCGAACTTAACCTTTCTACCTTCCACGTACTTACCAAATGGATACCAAATTAAATATCCATCCACCCATAAATAGACATCGAGAGAATTTGTCATCCACTATCTGCATGACCCACAACAATTATAAAAGAAAAAATGTCAATAAAGTAGTAGATAACCCTACATTCACGAATAAAGACAAAATAACTTTCAATACAATACTGAAAAAGACATAACACATGGACAAACATAACAATCATAACCCATGTGGAACTAAAGCAAAAAATTATCATTTTAAAATAATCAGCGCATAGCCCAAGAAGAACTTACGGGTCCCAAACATAAAAACAAATTGCGCACAACTTTCTTGAAACTATAATAATCCATAACTAATACGGGGCCTAGAAATATTGTTAAATTGAAATTCTTGACTACAAGTACTCAAATCCAAATGAAAACAAAAACCCTTTCATTCGTGACAAACAACAAATTGCGCGAACAAAAACAAAGTTGGATTGTATTAATCGATTCTTACCAGAAACTGTCGTCAGCGGACAAAGAGAATTGACTGGAAATGGCTACCTTCAGAGACGGATGAACAAAGAACTGTATGCACAACAAAGTTGAATTTCTGTCGGAGCCCTAATCGGTCAAGCTAGATTGAATCGAATTTGGGCGAGTTTGTTTTAATTTCATAATAAAAAAATAATACACAAATAAAATTTAAGTTTGTAAAGGGTAAAACGGTCATTTCTTATTTTTATTTAACGTTGTTAGTTTTAGTGGAGCGTAAGCATGTATTTTAAAACACAAGTGATTTTTAAAAGGTTTAACTAACATAGGGGATTTTATGCAAATATTTGATAACACAGGTGTAAGCGACGCAATTTACCCTTTTTTTAACTTAAAAGTATAATTTCAATAGTTATATTGGTTGGATGTAGTCACCCAGATCCCCTATTGATTAGGCCAAATACTATTTAACTCAATCAACATATATGTATATAATAAAAGTATACAACACATACTTACATGGTATGTTATAACATAGCATATCACTGTAAGGTAAAGATAGAATCGGCGGAGAAAGATTATGCGGAGTGGTGCCGTGGTAGCAAAGGAACAAAAGTCCATTTCATTACTAATAAAGTATTCTTTTGGCTCAGAAATTCGTGCCCCATTGATTATTTATTTAAAGAAATTGAAATAGAAACGTTAAATTTGATGTCTATTGCTTTTAATTTTTTTTAAAAAAAATTTAACCGCTAAAATAAGTGTCGATTAATTTATTTTTAAATAGTTAAAATACTTAATTTAGTACCTCTTATATTTACAGTCAATTGAAGATAAATATCTAAATTATCAAAAACTTCTTTAAAATTTCTCAATCTAATTTTTTTTTCCTAAAACTCCGTCTTCAGATAATTATATTTCTTTTAACTTCAAAGTTCTATTTTTACCCTCCTACAAAATACTAATTTACAAAATTATAACCTATTCAAAATCTTCAACATACGCGAATTCTCGTGCCCTGACTGGGTTTGTTTAACAGAAGCCACCACCGCTGTCATCGCTAACCGTTGTCGCCGTCACCACCTCGCCGTCTTCGCTAACCGTTGTCGCCGTCACCACCTCGCCGTCTTCGCCATTCACCTACTCCACCCACCCCCGCCCACAATTTATCACTGTCAAAAGTAAATGTGTGTTTTAAGTTAATGTTATTTTTTAATTTTAATTTTATTTTGTAGTATTATTTATTTATTTTTACTGTATTCTATTTATTTTTATTTATTCATATAGTTGTTTGATTTGATTATTTATGTTGAATATATTCAAAATGTTATCAAAATGTGTTTGTTTGTTTTCTTTATCTCGATTGTATTTTTCTGCATTGATAATAATTTTGTGTGTTTGTTAAATAGAATAGATTAGGTTTTTTTTTATGTTAAAAAATTTCAATTTGTTTAATACATATTGTCTTTTATTTGTAGGACTTCTATGGAGAAAGAAGATTGTAATCGAAGGAAAATAGAATAAATAGTTAATGATTATAGGGCAATCATTGCAATTCTGAGTGCTTCCAAGTCTTGTTAGTAGGGGTAAGTTTGGTGCATTGGTGGTATAGTGTTTATCATTGTATATCTTGTAAATATTTTGTTCTCGTTGATTAATTATTAGATCTAAATTTGTCACCGAATCTAGTAACAACTATGATATTACCTCTTAAAAAAATATGATGTTATAAGTTAAAAAGTCACAAATATCCACTCTTAAAATTTACTATGTTAAGAGGAAACACAATATGTTTCCGCTAAAAACAGCAGATATTAACCAAGAAAATACTTTTTTTTTTTTTGCGGAAACATGTTGTGTTTCTGCCAAAGACAGGTAGGTACAACTGCTATTGACGCATACCTATTTTTTAGGAACAACCAATTACATGTTGATGCCTATGTAGAACTTTGCACTTGTGTAGGTACAACTGTCTTCTATCGTAGGTACAACCTTCCGCATGCCATTTTTTTAAGAGATTTCACTGTCTTATCATGTTCGACCAATACTATATGTTCAAAGTATTTTTTTTCGTGTTCCATATGAAAGGTGACGATGGAAGTGGGTTTTGAGATTGTGTAGGCGCACTTGACAAAAAAAGGACGTTGTATTATCGGGAATAATTCTTAAAATTTCCGGAGTATGTGCTCCTTATTGAAATATATTTATGGTTTCATTTGAATACAATAAAACCCAAAAATATTAGTTTTGATATTGAAGTACATGTTTCTTCTAGTACATGTACGTGATTAGGAGGAGCCAAGTATAATGTGATTTTCTATATGGATACAACTTTGAGTTTGTGTAAGTACAACTTTCTTCTATTGTAGGTATAACATTCCACGTATTATTTTTTCAAGGTAGTTACACCGCCTTCTCGCACTCGATCAATAGTAGATGTTGAATATAGTTTCTTCTCGTGTCCCATGGGACAGGTTGCAACATAAGGGATTTTTTGGATTGTGAAGACGCATTTGGCATGAAAAAAGACGTTGTTTTGCCATGGATTTTTCTTATAATTTGTGGGATATATGATCCTTATTAAAGTATACGTACAATTGTATTTAAATACGATAAAAAAACCCAAAAATTTCAACTTTGATCTCGAAGTACAAGTTTCTTATAGTACATGTACAAATCTAGCGAGCGCTAAGTACATCTTGATTCCTATGAAAGTACAATTTTGACATTGTGTAGGTACAATTTTCTTCTATTGTAGGCACAATATTTCACGTATCATTTATTCGAGGTGGTTACAACATATATGTAATTATGTATATATTAATATATATAATTGTATATACAATACTTATAAATAACTTTTACCAATAAATATTTATTTACATATACATTTGCATTTACATTTATACTTGCCTAATATTTATAAACAACACCTATATATACAATTACAACATTTACATTTACATATATATTTACGCTTGGAATGAAAAATGACATTGTATTGTCGGGAACTTTTTTTATTATTTGTAGGATAAGTGCATCTTGTTGAAGTATACGTACAGTTGCATCCGAATACAGTGGAAAAATTTTAAAATATTGAATTTGATATCGAAGCATTAGTTTCCTCTAGTACAGATAGATGCCTAGAAAGGCCAAGTGCAACCTGGTACTTATCTAGGTACAATTTTGAGCTTGTGTAGATACAACTTCTTCTATTCTAGGCACAATCTTTCACATGCCATATTTTCAAAGCGGTTACAACATATATATACATTTATATTTACATTAATATATATAATACAATACTTATAAAAAAATTTTACGAATATATATTTATTTACATATACATATATATACATTTATAATTGACTAATATTTTTAAACAACACTTATCTATACATTTATATATACAATTACAATTTTTATATTTTTATCTATATATTTACACATTGCATGAAAAATGAAATTGTTTTGTCGAAAAATTTTCTTATAATTTGTGGAATATGTACATTTATATATACATTAACATATATAGGAAAAATTGCTCATAACTACTTTGTGGTTTCGAAACTCGGTGTAAATTCCCCCTTTACTTTAAAAATTATGTGGCGCCCCCTTATACTTTAACAAATGTTGCATGAAACCCCTCTGTGATTTCGAAACTCAGTATAAATATTCACTTTTACTTTAAAAGTTGCATGATATTCCCTTATACTTTAAAAAATATTGTATAAAATCCCCCACCATGCAAAATATATAGATGGAAAATCCTTTTCTTATCACACAAGGGAAGTTTCATAGCAGTGGGATTTTATGCAACGTTTTTTAAAGTATAAGAGAGTGCTATGCAATTTTGAAAGTACAAGGAGATTTTAGCTGAATTTTGAAACCACGGGGGAGTTATGAACAATTTTACCATATATATAATTGTATATACAATACATATAAAGAAATTTTACGAAAATCTCAAATCTAATCGTCGTCCGTCCATCCAAAAATTTTTTTAATGAATGGCATTTATAGTTCATAATTATAATTATTTTATTTTAGTGTTATTATTATTATTGGATCATTGTTTTTATAATAGTCAAAATATTGTTTATTTTTAACTGATGATAAATTTTGTACGTATGACCGTTTTTTGAATATATAATTAAAATAATTTTTACTTTTTTGAAATTTATTGTTATATTTGTTGGTGACATTATTTTGAAATATACATTTATTGTATATTTATAGTGCCCATAATTTAATTTTTGCTTAGGACCGTGAAAAAGTCCAAGACGGTCCTGCTAAAACCAATTGAAGACATGGTTGTTGGAAGTGTGTAATGTATTGCTATTGCTTATAGGATTTGTGAAGTGGAGAAAGTTCTAACCAGTGACGAGGAACTAGAAAACTAGAAGCTACCTGAGGGAGATCTCATTTTGTTAGTAATTGTTGGTATCAAGGTGCTTATAACAAGAAGGTGTAAAGTAGGGGATAGGTTTCGTTGAGGTGAATCAATGCATCATTCTTGATTATATAATCTTTTTTTTTTTTTATGTACTATTCAACATTTTCTTGTAGGCCTAGTATAACACATTTAAGTACCATATTTTAACATTTATGAAAGCATTATAGTGAATGTTTTCCAAAAATTATCCTAAAATGGCATAGCCAAGGTTTTGTGTGTTTTTCCAATTCTATATGTATTGTGAGCTTCCTAAAATGGTTGCTTTCCAATGTGAAGTATACCACTAGCGTGTAACTACCCAAGTTACCTACCAATTAGATGTCCTCAAGTTGAAGTTACTTGTTGAACCTGGATATAAAACAATGTCACAGGTAAGAAATTTGATCTTATTATTTACCAAGAAAGTGTTCGTAAGATGGAATCAGTGGCAAATCTTTTCCTATTGCAGGTTGTGTTGAACATATTGAAAGAAGAATGATTCATATAATTTTATAATGGTCTAGGGCTTTCTCTTATTGGGATTGCACCTTATATTGCAGGGAATTTTTGTATGTTTCACTACAAGAAAATATCATTTTTGTAACGTGGTTTTTTCTTCCCTAAATCCACTTTTTTCGTTATTGATGACATTAGAGACGAAATTATGGATGAACTTACGTTAGCTACATAAACGTTATGGACAGAATTTTGTTATAAATATACTATTTTTTTGTAGTGTTTGAATGTGGTCTAAATATCAGAGTGAAGAAGGCTCTCAGAGAAATACCAGAAGAGGACGGAAACATCCCTGGTAATAGCTCTGATATCTGCCATTGTTGCCACAGTTTTGTGTTTCCCTTTGGACACAATTAGACAGAAAATGTAGACTAGGGGTAGTCCTTATGCAATAGTTTGATGCCTTCCCAGGTAATAAGGGCAGCACTTTTGATAGAAAATGTTAAGTTTATCATGCATAGTCTTATATTTTATTATTGTATGGCATCAACTTTGGTGGAAAAAATATTTTAATTTTTTATTATGTTGGTGTCTCAGATTTTGGCGCCAAATGTTATATTTTATTTATTTTCTTGGTGCCAATGTATATTTGATTTTTCTTCTTTAGCGTCAATTTCGGTGCCTCAAAGTTTTTTCTAATTTTTTTCACAGGTTGTGGCCCCATTTTCGGTGCCTAGATTTTATATTTATATATATATTTCACTAAAAGTAGCGCCAACAAGCTTCTATTTTGGACTGGATAGCCGGTTCTAAGAAATAGGAGCCATGATTTCGTAACAGATGGAGGCCGTGATACATACCGCGTCATTTAGCTATTATATTATCGGCTTTGGCGTGGTTTCTTCTGCATCAATTTAACTTTTTTCTAGTGTTGAGATATTTTAAATATATAATTTTAGATTTAGTAGATTTATATTTAGATTTGGTCTTATCTATAGATTATATTACTTAGATTTGAGTCTATCGAGTCTGTTTTGTATTGTCATATATAGGCCCCTTATTTTGATAATCAATAAGACCATTTCACTATTTTCCCCAAAAATTTCTAACATGGTATCATAGCTAAATTCTCTCTGGGTACATCCATGACCCGTTATATCCCATATATATTTTTATATTTATTGATGTATTTACTTCTATCAACGATCATACTGTCATTTTCATGTCGTCTCCGTCTCTACTATTTCGATCTTCACTAACAGAGTTCTACTTTCAACTTTGACGCCGTTGAGAGTTCATTTTTTTACTTTAACTCTATTGAGAGTGAATGAGTTTTGTTTCCGTCTCTAACTCTGTTATGAGCGAGCGAGTCTTGTTTCCGACTCTAGTTCCATTGTGAACGAGTGAGTCATGTTTCCAACTCTAACGGTGTTGAATTCTGATTATGACTATGATTGAATGGATGACTACACCACTTTTTGTCAATGGCAACTTCAAGTTTGTTCGTGGAAGATCTCGGCTATATCTTTTTCGGTCACTTTTGACAAACTCAAGTTTGTTCAATCATATATTGAGTTTGGGGAGGGGTGTTAAAATATATTAAGAAGCAATACATTATATTTATGGTAGTTGTCTTATTTAAGAGATTCGTAGGATTCTTGTCTTATTTAGACGATTTGTATATCACTATAAATATGTACGTATTCTTATGATTTTAAAAAATGTTAAGATATTTTAAATATTCAATTTTAGATTTAGTAGATTTATATTTAGATTTGGTCTTATCTATAGATTATATTACTTAGATTTGAGTCTATCGAGTCTATTTTGTATTACTTATATATAAGCCCCTTATTTTAATAATCAATAATACAATTTCACTATGTTCTCCCAAAATTTCTCACATGGTATCAGAGCTAGATTTTCCAAAATCAAAACCCTAGCCATTGTCCGCCGTCCATCGCCGTTCTCTGGTCGACACCGCCCATACCATTGGAACAGCCATGTCCGGCGACCATGCCACCGAAAAATCTCAGCCAACGGCGGTGCGTGGGGCCTACACGCGCCTCCGATGCAAATAGTGGCGGAAAATACTTCCGTCGCTGTTGTCCTCGGCCGTGTGTGGCGGCGTGTCCGCCCTTTTTCTCCATTGTTTTTCGGCCGCAGCTTTCTGTTTTGGTTCCCTGTGTGGTTGGTTTTGTCATCGGAGTTGATTTTATTTTGCGACAGTTACCGGTTAGATTGTTCGATTTGGTTTCTTGATTTCGTGATTTATACCAGCGTGATTGGTTTTTTCATCGGAGTTGATTTTTCATGGCTTCCTCAATCCAAAATCACGTGACTCTCTTGCATTAGGTTCTTGTTTCCAATTCCTCTTCTGGTATGAAAAATTAGTGGTATTTTGATTCTGGTTGTTGCCATCATATGACACCTACACTTGGCTTCTTGAATGATGCGCATTATGTGTCTTCTTCATTGCCTATACATATTGCTAATGTGAGTCGCATGGATATCACTCATTCAGGATCTGTATCTCTACCATGTATATCTCTTTCTGATACTTACTGCATTTCTCAATTAACTTTAAATCTTGTATCAATTGGCCAACTAGTTGAGCAAGGACTTACTGTTACCTTTTCTTCTTCTGGCGTGCAGGTTTAGGATCCACGTACGGGTCAAATTCTTGGGACATGTCGAAAAGTGAGTCAACTATTTGAGGTACAATCTTCAAAACTTTCTCCAAATAATTTCTTTGCTGCCGCTACTCATACCCCTCTTAATACATTTTCTTCCCCCAGTCTTCAATGGCAACTTCGTATTGGTCATGCGTCTTTCTCTAAAATTTAGTCTCTCGTTAGTAAGGGTCATTTAGGTCCTACTCGTTTTGAGTAATTTGATTACTTACATTGTCATATGGGAAAACAACCAGCCTTATTTTTTTAAAAAAATATGTCGGTCGCAAGTAAACCATTTTTCTTAGTTCATTATGATATTTGGGGTCCTTCCCCTGTTCCTCTGTAGGTGGGTGTCATTATTATGTCATCTTCATAGATGATTACTCCTATTTTTTACATGGATATATTTTTTGAAACACCGTTCAGAATTACCTCAAACATACATTCAATTTGCTCAAATGGTTCAAACTCAATTTTCTCTCTGCTCAAGATACACTGATTCAACGTTCATGTCTATACACCTCTCAACAGAATGGTCGCGCTGAGCACAAACATTGTCATATTCTAGATATTGTTCGTGCATCCTTTTTATATATCTCTTGTCCTGATAGGTTCTGGAGAGAAACCACCCTCACTGCTATCTATACCATAAATCGTATTCCATCATTTGTTCTCCATAGTAGCACCCCTTTCGAGCATCTATATGGCCAGCCACCCGATTATATTATCCTTCGTCCCTTTGGTTGTGTCAGTTTTGTCGTTATCCCTCCGCATGAACGTTTCAAATTGGAACCTCGTGCGCGTATATGTTGTCGTCTTGGTTATGGGTCAGAGCATAAAGGTTATATGCTTTGGGATCCGGTTTCTAAATGGTTGTGTATATATTGTCATGTTATCTTTTGGGAGAGTGTCATGTTTTCCACCCTGTCTAAATTTCATGTCTCATCTATTCCCGGTTCACCTTCCTTCCTGTCGGCATGTCCTCCCTTATGTCATGATCCTGATCCTATGGCTTCATCACCGCCTTCGGATTCTGTTCCAGTTGAGGCTTCTGATCCACCTCCAGTTGAGGCTTCTGATCCACTTCCGACCTTGTCTCCAAATGTTGATCCGTCTGCAGACCCTGGACCTATCATACATCGTCGATCATATAGAGTAAGTCACTCACCTCCTTACTTGCGTGATTATCATTGTTACTCTACCATATTATCTCATCATGAGTCTAGGTCATTTCGTTAGCCGAGTGCTGATCCATTATGACAACAAGCTATGACTCAGGAATTGTAGGCTCTGGCAAAAACTCACACTTGGGATTTAGTGGATTTGACTTCTAGCAAGACACCTATTGGGTGCAGGTTGGTTTTCAAAATCAAGACTAATTCTGATGGTTCCATTGAGTGCTACAAGGCTGATCTGATGGCCAAAGGTTATTCCCAATAGTATGGAGTTGACTATGAGGAGACTTTTGCTCTGGTTGCCCGTCTCACTACTGTTCATTGTCTTCTTTCAGTTTTTGCTGCTTGTCAATGATCTCTTCTTCAGTTAGATGTCAATAATGCATTCTTACATGGCTCACCTTTTGAAGAAGTTTATATGACTTTCGCTCCAGGTTTATCGTCCTTTGGAAAGGTTTGTCGCTTACGTCGCGCTTTATATGGGTTGAAGCAGGACCCTCAGGCTTGGTATGGCACATTTAGTATTGCACTATTGGAGTTTGGTTTTACCACATGCGCTTACGACTCTGGCCTATTTCTTCGTCGTTCTCCATCTAGGATAATTATACTCTTGCTTTGTGTTGATGATATGTTTGTCATGGGAGATGATGCATCTGGTATTTCTGATCTACAAACATATCTTAGCCAAAAGTTTGAGATGAAGAGCTTGGGCTCCCTTCGTTACTTCTTGGGGCTTGAAGTCTCTGATTCTCCCTATGGTCTTTCTCTTTCAGGCTAAGTATGCCTCCGATCTCTTTGCTCGAGCTGGTCTCACAGACTGTCAGGTAGCCTCTACACCACTTGCCTATGAAGTTTGACTTAATCCTCATGATGGTTTTCTTCTTGATGACCCTACCCTCTATTGTCAACTTGTTGGGAGCTTAATCTACTTGACTATCACTCGACCAGATATCGCTCATGCAATTCATATTGTGAGTTAGTTCATGGTCGGTCCAAGGACCTTTCACCACTCTGCCGTCTTACATATTGTTCGTTATGTGAAAGGTACTGTCCTGCATGGTTTACACTTTTCCTCTCACTTGTCTTTGACTCTCAGCGGTTACTCTGATGCTGATTGGGCTGGTGATCCTACTGATCGTCGTTCAACCGCTGGTTTCTGCTTCTTCTTGGGTAATTTTCTCATCTTTTGGCGCAACAAGAAGCAGACTTTAGTTTCTCGATCGAGTGCCGAGTCCGAGTATCGCGCCCTTACTGACTTTACGTCAGAACTTCTATGGCTTCATCGATTACTCACTGATCTTGGTGTTCCTCAGTCATATTCTACGGCTCTTCACCGTGATAGTCAGAGTGCTATGAAGATGGCCCACAATGATACCTTTCACGAACGCACCAAGAATATTGAGCTTGACTGTCACTTCATTCGACAGCATGTCGTCAGTGCTTGTGTCCATCTCGTTTCGGTCTCCTCCGCAGATCAGACAACATATATCTTCACCAAATCTCTTCTTCTCAGCCGTTTCCGATCGCTCTTGCACAAACTCAATTTGGTTTCTACAGCACCCATTTGAGTTTTAGGGGGGGTATTGAGATATTTTAAATATTCGATTTTAGATTTAGTATATTTATATTTAGATTTGGTCTTACCTATATATTATATTATTTAGATTTGAGTCTATTGAGTCTGTTTTGTATTGTCTATATATAAGCCCCTTATTTTGATGATCAATAAGATAATTTCACTATTTTTCTCCAAAATTTCTAACATCTAATAGTGTATATTTGTTATAAATACTTTAAATTGTATACAATATACTTATGTTGTCTATTTCTTATTGTATACTATGTTAATCGGGCAAAATTCACCTCTTATATTGGTGATATAATGAACTAAACATACGTGTTATTCTAATAAAATATTTTTGAGACATTTTTTAGTTAATATTATAAAAAATATATCCTCACACAAAACATATAATATATACTTTATCAATAAAATAATAATAATTTAATAATATTTTTTTATATCCAAATAAAAAATATTACAAACTAAAACACAATAGAAACACAGTAAAACAAATATTTGTTTACTTGGAGTTTTTTTTTTTTCCCTCCTTGTTTAGGTAAATAGTAAGTGAATATTATGTACTCTCTCCGTCTCGGGGCAATTAACACCTTTGATTTGAGGTACAATATTTAAGATGATGGCAATTAACACCTTTGATTTGAGGTACAATATTTAAGATGATAAAGTATAATTAGTTGATAATAAAGAATTATAATATTATTTTTTATTTTTATGTGAGTGGTATTATTTATAGTTTTAAAATAAGTTTAATATATATAATTTTAAAAAATCTAGAATATGTATTTAAATATTTTAAAAATTATATCTCAATAAAATATGTAATATGAATATCACTTTGTAGAAAATAAAATTTTATATAATACAAATAAATAAAAAATATTATTTATTTATAATGAACATAAATGAATTTTTTCTAAAAGAGAGTTTTAAATAGTGATAAAAATATTCGTTTATTGAGAGAGATAGAAATAAAAGATATTGAGTGGTCACATGATATATGATGTTATATATTATAGATTTAATTAAATTAATTTATATTCATTAAATATTTTTTTAGTTACTAAGTTTTATCAAATATAAAAATGTATCAAATAAAGTGGAAAAGATAAAAAATAAAAAAATGGATCAATTATTTTGGAATAGATGAATATATATAATATACTTAGAAAAAAAAATGTAGATGAGTGTATTCATTCAAGAGTATGTAGGATTTTAGTGGATTTTTAAAATCTTAGTGTATTTTAAACTTTTAAAAGTATTTTTAAAATTTGATAATATTCAATTTAGATTTGCAAAAGTCTTTTAAAATTTAGAAGTATTTAATTTAGAATTTCTAAAAAAAATTAAAATTTAAAGGTATTCAATAATCTATAACTTTGAAAGTTTGTACAGTTTATTGGATTTCAATGAAAAATTATGAAAAAAATTGTATGATATGTATAAAATATCTCCCCGGAAATTTTGATAGATTTTTAAAATATTATTATTATATAAGTGATAGTATTATAATAATAATATTATTATTATTATTATTATATTTTAATAAAAATTAATAATTTAAAACTAAAATATACTATAAAATTATTATCAATGATTTTTTTTATAAATATGTGTTTTATATTATATATAGATATATAATATTAGAAGAATACTATTATTTTATCATAATAAATATGTATTACTGTCATCCTCTATTTTCAATTATCAAATACATTATATTGTCATTCAGGTGAAAGTAAATTAGATATTTATATTTTCTTCGTTGAACTGTTAATTTAAATTTATTTTTAAATTTTTCTTTCTAATTTTTTTTTTTAATTTCAATTACTTTTTGAAAAAACTCGTAAATCCTGCCCTTAATTTTATTTATATGTAAATAATAATAATAAATATAAATTAAAATAAATTTATATATTGAAATCAAGATTTTCCATCTCTCGACATGGAAAGTGAGAAATTTTTTCTTAGAGTAAATGATAACAAATAACGGAAGTTAATGCGTGTAAATGGATATTGCTAATATTATGTGGCAAATGAGGCTGAAGTATAATGGAAATAAAAATGAAGAGAATGAAGATGAAAATAATTATAATGATGAATAATAATGTATTTTTTTATAAAAACTAATATTTTTTTGTATTTTATTTAATAATTTGTATAGTCTTTTTTTTTTTTCTTACATATGTGTTTCGTATAAATTTTATGAAGTTATATAAATCAATGAAAAAATTATTCTACAATCCTATCAAATTTATATAAATTCATTACTAATCCAATCAAATTCATAAAAATTCATTTAAATTCATTAATAAAATTCACAAACTCTTAGAATTTAAAAAATTTACATAAATCCATAAATTTTTTAAAATTCAACAAATAAAATTCCAAATAAATACACCCTGTATTATAATAATAATAATAATAATAATAATAATAATAATAATCGTCATCATCATCATCTTATATAAGCAAACCCTTGGAAAACTGCAAGATGCCGGGGATTAATATGCATTACTGGAGCCCTTGTTATTAGCATTCGAAAAAACATAATTAAAAATTGCTAGTTTAGATGTTTGTAGTGTGTTTGTTTGGAGTTTGAATTTTGAGTTGGGATTTGAATAGTAAAATTTTGAATTTGAATAGTTGTATAATGTGATATAAATAGGTGTTGATGTGATATTTTGAATGTAAACTTGATTTTTAGTATAATATAAAAAATAAAAATTAGGTGTTTGATTTGATATTTTTAGGAGAAAAAAATGAGATGAATAATGTATTTGGGAAGAATCCACCAAACAAACACACCCCATGAAGAGAGCTGAATAACCATGCATGATCTGCGTTATTCATATTTGAAATTGCCAATATATTTACACCAGGTCTATGAAGAAAATTGCTTGAAAGCTTTTGCAGAAAGCAACACACACGAGTTTGTTTCTTTAACTCCAAACCCCAAGTTTTTTACTATTTGTACTATACGTTTCCAAAAAAAAAAATATACATTTTTTTCTCTCACAAAATATCTTATCAAACATTATTAATATCAAACTCAAACTAATTTTTTTCAAACTCAACAAAAAGAAACACAATAGTTGTGTGAGAAAAAAATATATTTTTTTCAAGAAACACATAATTCAAATAGTAAAATTTGAAAAATTTTGACTAAAGAAACAAATCCAGTCCAAACTCATATATATAATAATAATAATAATAATAATATATACTTTCTGAATTTTGGTTTGATTAATGGAAAATCCACAAATTCAACAAAAACCAAAAGACATTTATTATTACATATGCTTTTTCTAAAAAAAAAATAAATATCATTATACATATTCATTATTTTTATATTATCTACATATTTTTCTATACATCAAATAAAAAAAAAATATATCTCTTCAAACAAACACGCATCTATATATGTATATACATCATTGTAACTTAAGGTGCTTTTGTTCTTGTTTTTTTATTATTTGAAATAAAAAATTTCACCGTTTATTTGCAAAATTTACAATAAAAGTAAATTATTATTTTTTTCATAAATTATCACCTCAAAATAATATTTAAATAATAATTCAAATCACCATCTTAATTTCAAATTAAAATCAAACAAAATCTTAATTATTTTTTTGATCGGACAAAGCAATTATTCCCTCTATGATTTGTAGTTTTCTACGCCAAGAAAAGGCATACATATATAACCTGCAAGACAATTTATTTATTCTTTACACAAATACTAAGGGCATTATACATAAATCAAAAGGTTTGATCAATTTGGGGAACCAAAACACAGTGGGTTTGTTTACTTTTAAGATTTTCGGTTTTGGATTTTAGTTTTAAATAGTAAAATTTTGAATTGAAACAATTATTTTGAATATGTATTGATGTGATATTTTAAATATAAAACTAGATTTTAGTACTCCATCCGCACATTGAAATGTTACCATTATTTATTTCCGTCCGTCCCAAAACAGGGTTAATTGTACCAGCTATCTAACATAATAAATACACTTTCAACTTATAATATATTACACAAATGTAATTACTTTTATATTACACTGTACTAATATAGATATTTTTGTCTTTTTTACTACAATCCAATATAAAAAATTTATTTGAAAAAACAAACGTTGTTCTTCCACTGAGATTAGAAGGAGTATAATAAAATAAAATAAAATAAGTCTTTAATTTTATATTTTTAGGTGAAAAAAAAGAAAAGGTTTGAAATATAAAATCAAAAATCAAATGCTAGTAAAGACACCCATTGTTTTTTTTTATTCTTTCTTCTTCACACAAATACACAGACACAGAGATATTGAAATTTTGTTCAGAAATTGAAATTATTTATTTATTTGGGGTAGAGTAATGGTGAAGAATCGTAGTCATAACTTGTACCTGAGCTCTGAGGCAGTTTATGTAATGAACGGTTTCCTTCAGCAATCCGCAGGAATCCATGGCGTCGCCGCCGGGGACGAGTCGCCGGAGATGGTTTTCCCTGGGGTTTCCGCCGCCGGCGACGGCCACTATTTTTCTGCTATTGGCCAGGAATCGGTGGGGACTGCGGGTTCTGAGAAGGGCCCGGCTCCAGGCTCTCGTCGGTCCCACTGCCGACGCCATGGATGCGCAGGCGGCAGCTCTGATGGTATGATATCTTCTGTACTTGTCGACGGATCTCGATGTGTTGGTGGTGTTCAATCTGTTGATTGCTCGGAGGAATTTGATTGCAAATCTAATTTTGATGAAATTAGGGTTTGTGTGTGGGTTCTTCTTCTTCTTCTTCATGGTGCCTGCAGATCTCTTTTCCATGGATTAATTAATTGAATAGAAATATAATTAAAGGCTGATCGAAGGGTTTATTTAATTTGATGGATCAGTGATGAATGATGCTCCAAATTTTAGGGTTTTGCAGTTCTTGATACGTAGAGAGAGAGAGAGAATGAAGGAAGATTTGGTTTCTGACATAAAGGGTGCCTGTTTTGAAACTGCAGTTTCAGAGTTCTGACACACAAGATCTCCTTTTATAGCCAATAGTGAATTAATATTACGAATTTGAGAGAGAGAATAAGAAGAGAGAGAAACATATATAGAGAGAGAGAGGAATATTGGACAAAAGAAAGCTAAAGGATTTAAAAATTGGAGGTACCAACGAGACTGACTACTCAAAGTATCGAATATATATATATATATCTATATATATACATCAACAAAGTAATATATTCAAAATTTATGTGGAGTTAGTTCATTATAGACACAACTAAGGAGAGTTAGATTATGATAACAATGCATATTGGCGGAGGCTACTCACTATTAGACAACACATTATATTATTACAAACAGTACTGTATATGTTAATACTACCTCCGTCTCACATAATTTGTTTTTATTTTTTATTTTCGTCCGTCCCACATAATTTGTCCTTTCCTTTTTTGGAAAATTAATTATACACTTTAATAATATTTTAAAATTTAAAATTTAATTTTTTTTAATCTTAATTAAACTATTTACTTTATCTTAATCTTAATTTATAATTATTTTTACTAAATAATAATTATTTTTACTAATACATTTCTTAATTATTTACTAATTATACTTTACCTAAATTCTCGTGTCTACAGTAATAGACCCATATTACATGGGACGGAGGGAATATAATACAAATATATCACATTAACTAACAGCATATGCTATAATCTCATACAGTACATACAACAGTTGATTTTATCACATGACATACTTGTATACAACGCATTTATTATTATTAAAAAACAGTGCATAACCTTTATTAATACAATATTTATTGTGTGTAATACTAATATGTATTGTTTGTATATAGCGTGTTGATATGAAAAATCTACCATGTTGCTGATTTTTTCAAATCAACACTGTAACCATTCTTATGCATATTATTATTACTATTATTATTATTATGTTGAGTGTCTTGAAGCATAATTTTCATGGGGTTTAGAATAGAGGGTTTAATTGGAAAAGAAATGAGAAAACGACATAGGGTGGGGTTGGATAAGGGCAAACCACCATATGAACGCACATGCTTGCACTACCCCCCACTTGTTTTCCCGGCCCCGCCATTCAATTTTGTTTTGTTCCTATGATATATATATATATATATATACTGATCTATCTTAATTCAACCGGCTAGCTTATATATTCTATGTATCTCACCTTGGAGGAGTTCTTGCTCTCGCTCTCCCTACTCTCTCTACATACATACCTATCGAATATTGATGAATAGCATATATATTAAATGGTGTTGTCATTCACATGCTTCAGTTAATAGGGGTGTAAAGTATATATATATGTTCAATTATTGTTATTATTATTATTATTATTATTATTATTATTATTATCATCATCATCATCGTTGTTGTTTACCATAACTGTTATGGGTTAAATGTAACTATTTGGACTATCAGTCCGATTAAGTCTATATTAAGTGATATATTAATTTATTGGGCTTATATGTATTTAGTAAGTACGGACCTCCTATGTGCAGAAACTCGGGCCTCCTATGTGCAGAAACTCGGTAACTTATTAATTGGGTGATGAGGCCAATTAATAATAAGGGATATAAATAGGGTTGTGATCCCAGGTCTAGACGCAACATCCAATACTTTTTATATCTCATCGTGATAGTAACGGTAGAAACCCAAGCGGTTCTCTCAGAAGGGATTGCGCCATAGACTTGAAGAATACGAAACCCTCTATCGAATTGTAGATCTGAATCCGACTATGCTGATGAATAAGGTTAGATCTTATTAGCTTTATTTTCTTATATCAATTATTACAATACGGTAAATCCTAGGCTTAAGGATAAGTTCCAACAATTGGTATCAGAGCCCAGTTAGATGGTGAAGTGGACTGGGTGGCATGGGCATTGGTGGTGGGCTCGCCTTCGTGACTTACGGATATGCCTTGTGTCGAAAGTCTCCTGGCAATGTTGGGTCGGTCCCGATTGAGTTGGTCAGGCAGCGGGTCCCTTTGTGATTGGCGATACAAGGTGGGCAAAGAAGGTCCATTGGTTGGCCCTTGGTTTGAGGGGAGGATTGTTGGGGTGCAAACCCAAGTCCCACATTGAAAGTTGTAAAGAAAACTACACACCTTATAAGTCCCAAGTGAACTCCACTAGTAGGCTTTTGGAGGAAATCCAAAAACAAATCCGTGCGGATTTAGCCCAAAACGGATAATATTATACTAATATTGAGTTGACTCAGTCCCAATATTGGTATCAGAGTCTTTCCGTGTTAAATTTTTATATAGGAAATGAATTAATCTGCAATCGGAATCTAATTTGTATAGTTCATGGTCTATCGATTGTCGTGTTTTTTATGCAACCGACTTCCACTGCATGCATGTTTATCAATTTAGTGAAATCAAACATGAATCACGAGCATTAAGGTCTTTGCTGCTTTGATGTCTAGATCTCGAATGACACCCGCTTGCAATCATTCAGACACATATATATATATAAATATCATAAGACATTGGGATCATATTGGATGAAAGTTCAATTAAATAATCAGAATATTAACTTTAATTCTGAATCATCCATGTCTGCTCGGTTTGTGTGCAATATTTATATATGAATTCCTTGCTATTATACCCGAGAAGTATTATTAGTTTGAAGTGTGTGGGCAGCCTCTGCTATGATTTCTCAGACTTCGATAAGTTCCTCAATATAATTGTTGGTGTTGGGATATGAAGCCTGATTATATCCTAAAATCTAGGGATATGAAGTAGATATTCTAGATTTTTAGAGATATGATTTAGATATTATTGATATAGGCTTAGCCTATAAATATCCATGTATTCTCACTTTAACATGTGCCTGCGTATTTTATAGTAAAATTCATGGTTTGGCAGCGCCCCCAAACGTAGATCATCGTGATTAAACTGGGTTACCAAATTCTTGTGTTCTTTTGTCTTTGTTATTTCATCTTGATTTCCTAGGAATTTCCGTAACAAGTGGTATCAGAACCTGGTTCGTTGGTATGGTGGATTGAGAGGAATCACATTGGTTCGTTGTGGGAATCCGTTGTGACCTACGGAGGTGCCTTGTGTCGAAAGTCTCCTAGCGGTGTTGGGTTGGTCCCGACTAGTAGGTCAGGCAGCAGGTCCCTTTGTGATAGGCGCTGCAAGGTTGGCGGGGAAGGATAAGGGTTTCGGCAAACTCAGCAGAGGAGATATCCGATGTACTCTCATATCAAGTGAACCTTAGGTTTGTTTGTGGGAGTCAAGATGGATGAAGTCGAGTAAAAGAAGATCTACAAGAAGACGATGAGTGCGGTTCGACTAACCCTTTGGGAGAATGTCTCGACTGAATTTAGATCTGAGGCAAAGGGAAAGGGTGAAGATCAAGAATGGTCAAAGTTGAAGCCGGAGAACACGGACAAGGAAGATGCAAGTCAGGTGGTATATTGGAACTGCAAGGGGCACTTTAAACGACAGTGCAGGGTGCTGGAGAAGGATCAGGGTTCGGCAATCGCAGCGGATGAGATATCTAATGCGCTGATTCTGAACGTCAGCAGTCCAATGGAGTCATGGATTTTGGTCTCAACAGCGTCATTCCACTCATGCAGTGATTCGGGAATCATGGAATCCTATACCGCAGGTAATTTTGGTATTGTTTATCTTGCAGATGATGAGACACTAAAAGTTGTAGATAAAGGGATGGTTCGAATCGGAACACCGAATGGTAGGGAATGGAGACTGAATGACGGAGACATGTCATGGGTCTAAAACGGAATCTGATTTCCGTGGGACAATTGGATGAGGTAGGTTACTCGACAGTTTTTTAAAACTAAGTTGTGGAAGGTAACTCAAGGATCCATTGTGGTGGCCCAATGGAGAAGAGATGGAACTCTCTACATGACGAAAACCATGCAAGACGGAATCAATTCCGTGGCCATAAATAATGACACAAATTTATGGCATTCTCGTCTCGGACACATGAGGAGAAGGGGATAGGGAAGCTCATGTCAAAGGGAAGATTGTCAGGTCTCAAGTCCGTCGATATTGGAGTATGCGAGGACTGTATCTTTAGGAAGCAACGAAATGTGGCGTTCTCAAAGGGTAAGAGAGACCTGGAAAAGGAAAAGTTGGAGTTGGTTCATACGGACCTGCGGGAACCAACTTTTGTATCGACCTTTGGAGGCTCACAGTACTACCCCGTGGTCATTGACGATGTTACAAGTGAGGTATAGATATATTTCCTTAAGTGTAATTATGATGCTTTTGATACCTTTAGGAGGTGGAAAGCATGTGCAGTTGGAGTAGTGAGCCGATTTATGAGCAGTCTTGAAAGACAATCTAAGGTGGTGACCTTAGATGAATTGAGGTTGTGTTCAACCTCAATGGGCCTCGATGAGTGAAGAAGGAGGCTTGGCGTTGTCATTGTGGATGAAGTAAAATGTTGAAGTGGAAGATGAAATCAGTCTTCAAGTGGGAGATTGTTGGGATATGAAGTCTGATTATATCCTTAAATCTAGGGATATGATATAGATATTATATTCTAGATTTTTAGAGATATGATTTAGATATTATTGGCATAGGCTTAGCCTATAAATATCCATGTATTCTCACTTTAACATGTGTCTGCGTACTTTATAGTAAAATTCCTGGCTTGGCAACGTCCCCAAACGTAGATCATCGTGATCGAACTGGGTTACCAAATTCTTGTGTTCTTTTATCTTTGTTATTTCATCTTGATTTCGTGGGAATTTCCGTAACAACTGGATTTATGTGATTCACGTTAAGATGTTGTGTTTACATATATATTATAATTTGAATTAGATGCATGTGTTTGTTGACACCAAAATAAATTATATCGGGGTGTCTATTTATTTATATATTCAATATTTGCATCTATGTTTATTTGACTGCAATCAATTGCATTTGGTGAGCAATTGCGAATTAATTGACTATTATTTATTTATATATTTTGGAATCAAGGATTATGTATTAATCTCTGCACCAATTTTGGCATTATGATTAGATTAATTTATTTATTTAATTCATTGTTTGGGTCGAGATTAACGTTTATTTGATATACATGCATTCAATTTAATAATTGCATAATTTATTAACTAATGTGTGTATGATATTGTATCTACAATT